CACAAAGGCTGGGCTCGGCTAAAACTGTTGACCAGAGTACCTAAATAGGACCCTCCATGTGACTTGGGCTTCTCTGAGCATAGTACATGGGTTCTTATAGGGAATATCCCAAAAGAGGGAATACAGACAGCAAAGTTCCAAGAGAATAAGGCAGAAGCTTCATAGTCATTTATGACCTGGCATCCAAAGTCACGTAGCATCACGTCTGCCATTAATCAACATGGTCACAAGCCCACCTAGCTTCCAGATGAAGGTACAAAGACTCCACCTTCTTTATAGAAGGAGTGTCAAAGAACGTGGGGCTATGTTTTAAAACCATCACTGTAGAATGGACTTGTAGACATGGTGCAGGGGAAGGGGAGGCTGGGACAAACTGAGAGTAGCATTGACATATCTACACTACCATGTGGAAAATGGGAAGTGGGAAGCCACCATACAGCACAGGGAGATCATCTCGGTGCTTTGTGACGACCTAGAGGCGTGGGATGGGGAGGGTGAGAGGGAGGCTCTAGAGGGAGGGGATATATGTATACATGTAGTTGATTCACTCAGTGTACAGCAGAAGCTAACACAACATTGTAAAACAATTATAATCCAATAAAGATGTAAAAAAATCATAAAAAAAGAAGTGATTAATGGGATGCTTTCCATAAGTACTCTTCCTTATTTGTGATTCCTCACCTCTAAAGCAACAGTACACATTTGCAATATGGCTGATCAGTGTTAAAAATGCCTGTATAACCAGGTGTTTACCTTAGAATGCTTTTGGTCGCAAGTGACAGAAACCCTGATTCAAACTGGCATCAATTAACAAAATTGAAAATTTCAGCAGTAAGGCAAGCAACCAGTTAAGAGAGGGTTGGTTTAGTGGCTTAGCAGTACTGAAAAGACACTTCTCTGCCTTATTTCATGACTCTTAGTGTTGACTTTATCCTACATCTAGTTCCTTCATGAAGGAAGTCTTGCTGGCATGAGCAGTTATTCCCATGCTCAACTGTATGCTCAAGCAAAGAGATAAAGAGAGCTTTCCTGCCCTTCTACTCTACAGAGTCCTGAGCCTCACTCAGCTGGAACAGCATAGGTCACTTACATAACCCTGAAACAATTTCTGAGGTCAAAGTCAAGTTCTGATTGGCTTAGATTTAGATGCTCATCCCTGAACTAGTCCTGATTTCAAAGGGGGTGTAATTATGCCACTTGACTTCATCATGGGGATGTGATTGATCCCTGTAAATGTTGTGCCTGCTCCCCACTGGGAAATAGGTGGAATAGGTGAGGGGAAAGCGGCTCTAATTTCTATTTCATCTTGGAACATTCTCTGACAACATAAAATCATTTGACCATGAGGTGATGGAGCTATTGCCTTGGCCTCATTAGCATCATAGTTCAATGAGCCGAGAGTTCATGGTCCCATTCCTGTTCACTGGTCAGCACCCTGCCTTCGAGTCAAGCCAATGTCATATTTAGAGCTGCCGTTGTTAAAGAAATCCCATTTGACAAAACAAGGAAAAAATAGCTACTACAAAGTGACTCTGAACTTGGCTGTTCTCTCCCAGCAAGGAGTGGTGGGAGAACAGTCACTGGCTTTCTGAATGTTTGGGGTCATGTCTGTGCACCTTTGTCTGTGTGAGAGAATATTTCTTACTTTGGATAAATTCGGACTTTTGCCTGAGAAAGTAGGCTTTCTATCTGAGGCTATGAACTCTTCTTAAGAACTGTGAATGTCTTCCTCTGTTTTTCAGAGGTGACACAGAACTGAATAATGTAGACACTTCTGCCAAGACTTTTTTTTTTTTTTTTTTTTCTTTTTTCGGTACGCGGACCTCTCACTGTTGTGGCCTCTCCCGTTGCGGAGCACAGGCTATGGACGTGCAGGCTTAGCGGCCGTGGCTCACAGGCCCAGCCGCTCCGCGGCATGTGGGATCCTCCCGGACTGGGGCACGAACCCGTGTCCCCTGCATCAGCAGGCGGACTCTCAACCACTGCGCCACCAGGGAAGCCCTCTGCCAAGACTCTTATTCATGGTTTTCCACTGCAGCATGACAGGGTTATTGTCCTCACTTTGCTGTTGAGAAAATAGGGACAGAGGGTTAAGCAGCTTGCTATGACCACACGTCGAAGCAGGGACGGAGTTGGCATTAGTAATCATTTTCCTGGAATCTTGGCTCAGTGCTTTCTTTACAAAGAATTATGAAAGTTCCAAACAGAGAAAGAGAACAGGTCATAAAATACAAGCACTTTGGAACCCATCACCCAGTCTCAGAAATTTTGTGAAAAACAAATACTTGTAGACATAATGGAAACCCCCTTTGTACCCTTTATGGTTCCCACCCTCACCTTTCCTTCTCTGAGAAAATCAGTATCCTGAATTTGGCATTTTACATTCTCATACATATTTTTCCTCTGTATGTGTGTATCCATAAAAAATATGGTACAGGTTTGCACATTTAACTTTATATTATTGCTGTTATCTTGTATGAATCACTTTTTTTTTGCTCAACATAGTTTTTAGTATATATCCATGCTCACACATCTAGCATGTTTATTCATTTTACCTATTATATAATATTCCATGTCATAAATATATATATAATATGTATGACAGATTATCTCTATCATCGTTTAGATTTTTGCTGCTGTTTAATATCATAAGCAGTAATGCACTGTATATTCTTATACCTTTTACCTTCTGATTACTTTCATGAACCCCACTGGAAAAAAAGAATACTTTTATGGAGATAAGCATAGAGATTCAATTGCTCTAAGTTCGGTCCTAGAGTAATGCAGGAGGGAGTACCAGAAGCAAGACTTATTGCCATATTTACATTTGAAGAAACTCATTCTATACCTAAAATGGTTACTGAGCAGAGCCTTACGGGGCCTTCCCAAGAGATTCCTCCCCCATATCCTCTGCTTTAGGTCCTCTCTGAAGTGCCCAGATAACAGTATTGATGCACATTTCCTGAGTTGTTTTACAAATGCTAAAACCACCACCAAATGGAAGAAGTTACCTACTTGATGACCATGAGCATGTAGCCCCCGGACCTACCAGCAGCTAAGGGTTGATAATGTTAACCCCTGTGACACTGCCCTGTTACATCACCATCAGCCAATCAGAGAATTGTGCACGAGCTGATCACATACCCTGGGACTCCACTCCCTCACCTTGTCTTTAAAAATGCTTTGCTGAAGTCCATCAGGGAGTTTGGGCTTTTTGAGCACTAGGTAACCAGGACTCCTTGCTTGTTGCCCTGCAGTAAACACTGCACTTTCCTTCCCTACAACCCGGTGTCAGTAGATTAGCTTTACTGCTCATGGGTGGGCAGACCCAAGTTTGGTTCAGTAACAAAACCAATCCATGTTCTGTGTATACCATGATTTACAGTTGCTATATCAGGATCTATCATTATATCTTGAAATCTCACCTATTTAGTCATTACTAATGCTCCTTCTTTCCAGAACCAGACCTGAATTTCTGTGGCCTGCAGGATTTTTGTCAGGCTGAAAAAAAATGGCAGCAATCATAGTGATGGACTGAATAAATGAAGTTTTATCATTACAGAAATAGAAACAGTGGCTTGAAAATTTTAAGAACATCAATTGACTTCCTTCTAAAAAGCATGCCATGGGGAGAAGGGGTGAAATTTCTATGGGACATCATTTCTGTGTATCTGAAAGCACTATCTTTATGTAGATAAAAATGAGCAAAGGATGGCCATTTGTTTGACTTATTTTAGGAACATTGTAGTCTGTTTAAAATGGCTGCTTTAAAAATCTCCATGTCAACTATGAAACTAAATTATTTTGAAATATTATTATGCTTTGTTCTGAATCCTCAGAATTCTGAAGAAGCTGGTCCATTGTGTTAATACTGGATTGTTTTTTGGATCAGCAGCCAACTGTGAAGACACTAATACAGATTTGAGGGAAATTACTGTCATAGGACTTGGGAGACTGGATTTTTTTTTTTTTTTTTTTTTTTTTGCAGTACGCGGGCCTCTCACTGTTGTGGCCTCTCCCATTGCGGAGCACAGGCTCCGGATGCACAGGCTTAGCGGCCATGGCTCACGGGCCCAGCCGCTCCACGGCACGTGGGATCCTCCCGGACCGGGACACGAACCCGCGTCCCCTGCATCGGCAGGCAGACTCCCAACCACTGCACCACTAGGGAAGCCCTGCCTTAGGTTTTAATATAAACCATATGCCATCGATTACCCTTGCTCTAGTTATGAGTGTGTAGAGATCTGAGCAATCAGTCACTTCTTGCTCCCTTCCCAATTATCTCATATAATTAACTATCGCCTCTTGCGTTGTTCCTCTCTCCATCCATACCTGTGCTCTTGTTCTCAAACAGGATAGACTTTGCCCCCAAGGAACATTTGGCAATATCTGGAGATATTTTTGATTGTCACAATGGGAAGGATACTACTGGCTTCTAAATGGTAGAGGTCACGGATGCTGCTTAACATCCCACAATGCAGAATATAGGCCCACTCCCTACAACCAGTGTTAGCCAGTCCAAAGTGTCAATATTGCCTAGTTTGAGGAATCTTGCTGTGTAGAAACTGACTTCATGGGTTTTGGTTGAACTTTCCAATTCCACCTCTGAGATGTTCAGTTTGATATAGTCTCATGATTCAGACTAGCTGCTCAGTAGCCAAAAATGGAAGGTTGTATCTCATGTTTCATCCACATCCTCTACTTTGGTTGAAGTGAGGCAGCCTTTGTTATTAAAAACAGTTCCCTTCTTGGTAAGTGTTATATCACCCATTGACATTACCCCAGTTACACACAGTAGGGAATGAGGGAAACTGAGGCATATTTCTAAGTAAAGAATAAAACCGGAAGGATTAATAAGTGTGATTATCCTCAGATACTCTCTGCTCCAGATGGCATTTGTTGTTATGGAAATTACATTTGCAAATATATTAAGGAAAACTCCATGGGCAGCCTAATACTAATATGGTTTCCTTTTTTTCCCCTCCTTTTTTGTTTTTCAGACATTTCACATTTTCAAGAACAAAATGATTTAAAAGGATTACTAGAAAATCTCCATCAAAATATTCAAGCCAAAAAGAGAAAGAATGTAGAAATCATGTGGCTGGCTGCAACGGTAGGCACTCTCCTGTCAAATGGTATATTCCCTGTCACCATTATGATCAGCAAGCATTATCGGGTATCTGCTATGTAGGGTCCAACCTCTGCACTTTGGGCTCCCAGATGTCATTCTCCATTATCCAGGAGATTAGGCATCTAGTCTATCCATGCACAAGAACACAAGATAGAAGAAGATGTATTCAGCGAGAAAGAATCTTACTCGTTGGCTTTTCTTATAAATTCGAGAAGTGTTTGAGGTTAAAATCAAGTGTCTGTGATTTTCTTGATATTGCATGTTGCAATGTCAATAGCCCATGTCGGTCAGGGTTTTGAAGCGCTGCTCTAGAGACATATGGTTTCAACAGACAGTGGTTATCAGATCTCTGGCTCACAGCTTCAGTAAGGCTCCTGGACATATTGTTCGGTTAATGAGCTTGTAAACGCGTTTGTCAATTTAGATATGGGCATAGAATTTATTACTGATGTATTGCTCTTAGGGTAATGAGCTATATTTTGTATGCTTCTTTCTCATTTAATGGCACCCTCAGGGTAAAAGATCTGCCTGCTTCCCCGCCCCCAGGTTTCTACAAGGTTGAGGGAGAAAATCATGCCTATAATTTTTAAGATCTTATCTGGCAACCGCTCAGGTATAGCTCATATGAGTTTTGTTAAACATTCAGACCCAGAGATCCTTTCACTAGGAAGGGATCTTTTCATCAGGAAAAGCACACATTGGAGATCTTTTTGATGAACGCCATGTTTGAACTTACTGCACAGGATTGCTCGTGTAATTTGGAGTTGAGTGTAATAGATCTTCTCACATGTGCTATTCATTCTCTATCAATAGCATTTGAGACAAAGCCTTTCCCCCTACTGCCAGTGCTTCAATTATAATCTAATATTACTTACTCTCTTCTGGGAAAAAGGAATGGATAATTTACCATGAGTCTACATAAAATAATTTACCAAGAGCAAGGCAGAGGAAAGCTGCTCTAGTTTCCCTTCATGCCCTCTTGGAGCCCCAGGGAAGAACATCAAAGGTAACAATATGAAACGTTGCTTTCAGGCAGCTCATTTACACTGGTCCCATTTAGCATCGTACTACATTACATGAAGGTTGTTTTTCATAGTTCTTTCTCCTGTGTCTGCTCTATATACCTTCAAAGACTACTATGGTTGCTAATTCTCACGAAAATTTCACAAAGACAGGTCATAAGTTATTTTTGCTATATTACTAATGACATGATAGCACAAAAGTACTTTAATCATTGCCCAAGGCCATCTGACAACTTAGGAACATATACATATGTCATTATGCACATATCATGCAGTCATGTAAATTGACAAATGAAGGATGCACAGGTAGAACCACAAATGAATATTTTCTCTAGCACATGTAGTTTTCTCATTTGAATATATTTAAAAAATTCCCATAAATCCTACATTTCTGAAATTTTTTTTGAAATGTATATACCAACCAAATACGGCTTACTCACAACTTACCATTGAATTCATGAATGGGTGATTACTTGCCTTGATAAATATACAGCACCCATAGTGTGCAAATTTGGCATTCTGTAGGAATATTGACTTTATTATTAATAACATGCCTATAGGGTGATACATGAGTTTCAATATCTTCTTTGTAAACCAGGGACCTTGGTATTACTCTTAAAGAAATATAGAAATTCCCTTTGACATTTTCCAAAAAGTTTTTATTTCTGTCTCTGTTTTATTATCCCCTCTTCTTTAAAACGATTAATGAAATACTGCTTTGTTAATGTTTTACATTCTAATTGAAAAATGTAAAGCTATTTGGTTTTATCTTGAATGAGATTTAAAAAATGAAAATTTAAAAAGACCAAATACCAAATTAAGCTAATGTTAAATTAAGCTCATATAGTTCAAAAGAGTTGTGAAATACAGAAACCAAGACCCAACCTGTCTGCTTTGATGGAATTGTCCCAGCTTCTTTTTTAAAAAAAAAATTTATTTATTTTATTATTTTATTTTATTTTTGGCTGCGTTGGGTCTTCATTGCTGTGCATGGGCTTTTCTCTGGTTGTGGCGAGTGGGGGCTACTCTCCGTTGCAGTGCGCGGGCTTCTCATCGTGGTGGCTTCTCTTGTTGCAGAGCACAAGCTCTAGGTGCATAGGCTTCAGTAGTTGTGGCACGTGGGCTCAGTAGTTGTGGCTCGGGGCTCAGTAGTTGTGGCTTGTGGGCTCTAGAGCACAGGCTCAGTAGTTGTGGCACACAGGCTTAGTTGCTCCGCGGCATGTGGGATCTTCCCAGACCAGGGATTGAACCCATGTCCCCTGCATTGGCAGGCGGATTCTTAACCACTGTGCCACCAGGGAAGTCTGCCCCAGATTCCTCTTGATTTTAAATTTGTAACATGAAATATCCTTAGTAGGATAGTTGCATACAATTGTGACAATGCATTTTAAAGAATATTCATTCTTTTTAAAACTCACCTCTCATAAGTGACCATTGAGGTCTGTATTTTGTTACTATAAATATAGTCAAGCCTTTGTTATTTCATATTAAGAATTTTGAAATACTATTTATTTAAATGCGTCAGTGTTTTCTACAAGAAAAAAAAAGATTACATGTTGAAATCATGCTGTCACGTTTCTCTAGTCACTTACATTGGAGATAGTGAGAAAGTACCTAAGGGCTAATAAGGACTTGTAAATCCTAAGCTAAGTATCAGAATCACAATTAAATCATGATAAAAACCCTTGATAAACTGTATTATTATATCCTCTCTTCAAAGAAGGCAACTGTTAAGGCCTCCTCAGTGGCAGATAATAAAGCAGGCCTGTATTTCATCAGAGTAGATGTATCTTAAGTGCATGTTGACGAACATTGCTGATGCATTACCATGGACTAGGGAAGAGAAAAGAATGGAGTGATTCACCTGTTAACTGTAAAGCAATGAGACCATAAATTATTGCTAGTTACAGATTCTTCTCCTGGCTTACATCAGAATAACAACAAGAAAGAATTGTAGAGAGAAACAGAACAGGACAGAAGTTAAAGACTTGGTCCTTGTTAGGTAGACATATCAGCATCCTGGCTCTGCTCTGTTGTGCATAAGGCACCTTACCTATCTAAACCTCAATTTCCTCATCTGTAAAATGAGATTAATACACCTTCCTCCAGGGTTCATGTGCAGTTAAATTAAAAGAGCAAATCTATATGAAATTTATTAGCATTGTACCTGGTGCACAGTAGATATGCAATTACAGTGGCCATTTTTGGTGTCCTTATTCTTATTAGTTGCATTGATGAGTGGTTTCCTTATCGGTTTCACTTGGCACCATGTGGATGTTTGAAATCTCGTAACATCCAGCAGAGATTAGTAAAGGTTATTTTAAATATATCGTAAGAAGGTATTAGCTATGTAAGATGCAAATCAAGTGGCTGATCCAGGAAATACAGATTATTTTTTTCCCCTTCACTATTAAGATATTGCTTCTGAGCTGTGATTATCATTATCCCCTGCAGCTTAGATCCCCTCTCAGAGAGCATTGCTGCCTCTGCTGGATATTTACCATCTTATATGCCTTCAACAGCCCCACACCTCATGTACAAAGAGCTGAATAAATTAAATCTATTCCACTAGCTTTTGAAATGAAAAGGTAATATTTTTCCATTCTGTAGGCAGATTGAACCAGTTAATTTTCATAAATTAACATAAATTTGGTGGGTTTAGACTAGAAGTGTCTAGAGGACCCTGACACTTTAATCTGCGAATAAACAATAAACTGTGTATATGTCTGTTACAGATTTGTCGCAAACTAAATGGCATCCGTTTCACCTGTTGTAAAAGTGCCAAAGACAGGACGTCGATGTCAGTGACGCTTGAACAATGCTCAATCTTGAGGGATGAACACCAGTTACACAAGGACTTCTTTATCCGAGCACTGGATTGTATGAGAAGGTACCCCATATGTCTTCAACTTTTTTTCTTTTTTAAAAAAAATTTTATTGAAGTATAGTTGATTTACAATATTTGTTAATTTCTGCTGTACAGCAAAGTGATTCAATTATACATATATATTCTTTTTTATATTCCTTTTCATTATCGTTTATCACGGGATATTGCATATAGTTCCCTGTGCTATATAATAGGACCTCATTGTTTCTTTTAGGTCATTTTAAGGTTTGGGTTTGTTTTGTTTTTCCAAATATGTATTTTACTGGAGGACTAAACATTTAGTTACTTCACTGCATTTCCATGGCTTAGAGCTGATGACATGAGAGATAACATAATTTTAAGTGAATACTCATTTTAGGCAATAAAAAAAATGTGGCCAGATTTTGATAATCTGAATGGAGGATATATTTCATTAATACATTTAGACCTAAGTTGAAGGGCTCCGGTCCTTTTACATATAACACTAGAAGAGCACAGTCCCTTTTCATACAAGTCGTTATGTGTATGCACAAAATAAAGCTAAGTCGTTATGCAAACAAAGCAACTATCCAAAAAATGGCAACTAACAGGTGATCTTCCCATGGCTTGCAGGGTCTTCCTATCTTTAACCTCCTTCCTAAAATTATTTTCACATCACTCATAATAAAGATGGGATTACACAGATCCTTTAAGATTGAGAATTAATATGGTTACTCTGCTGACATTTAAAATATTCTGCCTGAAGTCATATTTCTTGATTCATTTCTACAGTAATTAAATCTAAAGTCTAAGCCATAATGGGAAGGAAAAAGTGCCTCATTCACAACATCTGTCAGCAAGGACATACATTAATTAAAAACTTTTAGCAAACTTGTCTCTTTGCCGCAAAGACCGACTCAGGAGCACAACAGGAAACATGGGACAGGCTCCCTGATGCCAGAAAGGAATGTCATGTGATGCTCTGAGAAAGCTGCTTCTTATCTGGCATGTCATTAGCTCCACTTTTCTTTTAACTGCTACAGTCTTTCCATGGCGAGGGTGATGCTTGCCTGCGCTCCTTCTGTGCTGCATGTTTTCCCCACTAATGAGAGGGTTCTGAAGCCCTCTCTTTTACCCCATTTCATGTCTCTTGGCATTTTCGTTGCTCAGTGGAGTTCTACCATAATTTTTGGATAAATGTATGAGGATATCTTCAAGGCCTGACATGAGCATCTCAGCCATACGAAACATGTTTGGTTGTCATAAAAGACTTTTTTCAATAATAATCTCTCAGTACTCACAGGGAAGGTTCAGAATCTGAGTATAAAATCTTCTAATGTGCATTTAAAAAGTACAAATGTCACCATGGATGGAACAAAGATGCCAGGTGAGGAGGGTAGAGCACATGATGTTACAGGCCAGAAACCCTAGAGGGCTAAAATGATTCAACCAGCATAAAGTATCTGGAAGGTGAAACTGTTACTTGTTTATTTAAGGTAGGGGTAAGAGAGGACCCTTAAATTAGAAAGGTAATTTTTTCCAATCCATAAATAAAGGGCATATCTGTCATATATATGTTGAACTATAAAACTACATATTTTGGAATAGCATAAAGGTTGTATGGACCTGACATTATATATACAACACATTTGCTAATGACATAACATTTATGAGGATTTAGTTTGGGATTGTGAAATAAAAGTAAGGCAATAGAAATTTAATCCAAAAATACTAAAGATCTTAACTTCCGTATCCCCACTACTCTAGTGAAATTTCAAATCTGCCAAATTTATCTTTTGGTTTTGTGTCTATGTGAGGGCTGCATGAGAATGTGAGGGCTTGTCCATGTATGTGTATGCATGTGTGTGTGTGTTCGTGCGTGCATGTGTTTAAGGGAAATAGACGTGTTATTGTCTTGAATAACTGATGTCCTTTCCCTCTTTGGGTACTGTCTTACAACACGAGCCCATAGGTTTGTAAGCTCTGGCCACAGGGCAGAGTAGATGAGAGGATGCGGCTTCGGAGCCAGCTGACCTGAGTTTGAATCCAGGCCATGTGCCACTTAAGCAGCCAAGAGGAAGTTAATCTCATCCTGCCTCTTAGTGCCTGAGGCAAGTTAGTCAACCTCTTGGTGCCTCTGTCTTCCCTTGTGTAAAAATAGACATGCTAATAATAGTAGCCCTTCTTAGGAGTGTCTCCAGGATTAAATGAATTGATATGTGTAAAGTGATTAGATCAACGTTTGAGACACAGTGATCACTCTACCATATGTGTTAAGAAAATAAATATCAAAGGTCGTGATCTTCCTGAGACAATCAAGTCTAGTCAATTACGAGCCTCATATTTTTTTGGAATATATTATGACATATGGTTTGACTCCAATACCATATATTAAAATCTTGTAAACTTTCAAATGCAATATTTTATCTATTTAAGAAAATAAGCTCTTTAAATACCACTTTGAAACTGTGCATGTGTTTACAAATGCTGTGCTAATTATGGATGGATTGCATTCATTAAAGTAAGCCTGGATGGGTTTCTTATAAGTATTTTTTATGTTAATGTGTATTATTGTATGCCCTTACAAATAATCATAGAATTTGAGATCAAGGAGTCACCTTAAAAATTTAGTCAACCCTGATTCACCTTATGAATAATGAAACTGAGCTCTGCAGTGTTTCAGCAAAGAGTACTCAGGAAATACTAGAGCCAGCACTAAAGCACAGATGCCTTAGTTACATTTTTTTATCCTGTGCTATACAGTAGGACCTTGTTGTTTTCCTTAGTTGTTTTTTTTTCTTTTTCTATAAATTTTAGTTATTTGTTTTTTATACAACAGTTTCTTACTAGTTATCTGTTTTATACATATTAGTGCATATATGTCAATCCCATAATTATTTGGTTATGTATTTGACTATTTCACATCTGTTAGTTGAAATATTATGTAAGTCATATGAGTCATAAGAACCATGTACTTTTCGAAATTGGAGACTGTGTGCAAGACCAGAGTGGTCTGCCCAAATCCTGAGACCCTGAAGAACAAACTCTAGTTCTAGAATGTTAACTCTTTCATTTCTACCTTATCTGTCATGTTCACTATTGTATCTGGGCATTTGAGCACAGTGTCTGGTCCAGATTGAAATAAATATAAATAGTGGTTGAATAAACAAAGAACAGTCCAAATAGGAATTCATTCTGCTGCCTTCTGTTTTTCAGAACCGTGTAGCAACTTTTTCATCTGTTTTTAAAATTGTATTTTCAATTATGTTCTGAGATAGTAGTTCAGTTCTTACTTTTATGTCTAAGCCTTGTTTCCTAGGGTTGCACTTGGGTCTCCGTAGTTCAGTGGTCAGTCAGTGATTAGCCAGAAGTTGTGCTCAAACAGTTCAATCCAGTAAGGCTTTCAACCTCTGCTGATATATCTGTGTATGGACTGGGAAACATGTTCAAATTCAGGAGTTTTTGCATCCATCCTGCCTTTTCTTTCCACCAGGCCCTATTAGGTCCTACTGGTCAACCCAGGATGTGTGGAAATTGATCAAAGCCCTCCATGGTTCTCTCATGTCCAGGATCTCATTGCCCATTACATTCATGGCTAGTCCACTGGTCTGGGGAGTGGCCCAAGTGGCAGTGCAGGCTCAGGCCAGCTGTGAGGTTGGCAGTCAGCATTTGTTTGCCTCCAAGGAAGCTAATGCTTCAGACAGTGCCTGGGAGTAGGCTTTTCTACTCTTCACTTCCAGTGCACTCAGACCCTGGGGCAGCAAAGTTGCCGGTTTCCCTGGCAGCCTCTCCCTGGTAGAGGTTTAGCTGAGAGGGGCGGGGTGGGAGCAGCCCCAGGCAGAAAGACCACAGACTCGCCCTCTTCTTACTTGCCAGTCAGCAGTTTTCCAAGAAGAAACCCTTGTCCACTTGTTGCTTGTCTTTGGCTTATTATTAGGGTCCTGAAATGGTTGGTTTTGACAATATTTTTCAGTGTCATGGTTTTGGGAGGAGGAAGAGGATCTGCAGAGCTCTTTGCTCTGCCATCTGATGGGCAGTCCCAGGCTCCAGACAGTGGCTGCTTCTGGGACATTAAAAAACTATGTATATTTGGACCCTGTGCAGTTTATCATTGAGGTGGATCCAGGGATCCAGAATTTTTAAGAACTTTACAAATATTCCAGGACACACACTGGATTAAAAAAAAAAAAAAAAAAAAAAAGCTAGTGTTTTAAAGGAGTTTGATTTTTATGTTTTTAAATGTGTTAAGGTTTTTTATTTTATTTGACATCAGTTGCTGTTTATTTTATGTTTGAATTATTCTAACCACCTTTCAGGCTATTTACTCTGGATATTTTTAAAAGTTCACCGGGGTTATAATATCAATGTTGTTTTTGTAGTTTTAGTTTTTTCCTTATCTATATTAAATTCTTCTACTGTATAGTGCTTATATCTGTTAAATTTTCAAATTATTTATGGATGAGAGAAATGTTATAGATAAAAAGAAATAAAGCTTCATCTACCTGCTTGTTCAGAAGTCCCCTCACCAGAATAAGGTTCATGAGAGTGGGGACTTTTGTTATCTTGTTCACTGCTATATTTTAATTATCAGTACCTAGAATAATGCCTAGTTAGAGTAGGTTCTCAATAAATATTCAATGAGTGAGTGAATGAATAACATAGGTTTCTAAAATGTTCAAGTCCTATAAGGAAGTTTTGTGCATACATGGACATTTTGAAATAAGCAAATGAAATTATTGCTCAGTTGTGACATATTTATAAGCAAAAGTTCCAGAAGATGAAAGTGAAAGTTTTGGAGAGGTTTCAACTCAAATTCAAAAACAAACAGGACACAAACAATCCACCTTAATGCACAGTCTGAATCTGTCAATGAAAATTTTAGAGACAGACATGAAATAAAATGGTGTTTATTTAGGGCTGCAGCCCAGGAGACACAGATTCAACAAGCATTTGAATTGTGTTCTACCAGACTACAAAATGGGGGAGGCTTATAAAGGCAAAAACCCACAAGGTTACAGTTAGTTACATGAGTTGTTTATCAAGAA